TTGTGAACCACACGTGTCACGAGAGTTTCTCTGTCGAACGGGGCAAATCTCACAATGGGAACCACAGGAGCTTGAGACAAACATGCTTGGGAGCAATCAGGTTGAGAAAGGCTGGATTAGAGCATCATGAATGGCCTTTCATAGCAATCTACAAGGAAGGTGTGTTATGGTCCCCATTATGGCTAACAAATAGTTAGGACATCAGCTAATCTTTCCTCAAACGTTGATGTACTGCTTAGTGTTTAATATGCCATTAAAATAAGCAATACAAAGTATGTGTTTTTCACCTGATTTAAATCAACCCCTGATGGGGCACTGGAATACACATTTTCATTGGAGGAGGGAGGAAACTCACAGGATAATGGAGGAGGCAGACCTAGGTCTGAGGAACAGAGCTCTAGCACTGCTTCTGCCCCCTCACTTGCAGACTCAGATCCCAATCTTGAGTCTTGATTGTTCAGCTCTTGAGACTCTTATTACGAATGGGTCAAAAGTTAAAGAGCTGGGAAGCAGAAGCAACAGAGACAGATAGTTTATTTGAGAGTAGGTTTCTATTCCTGACCAATCTTGTTCTTAGAGCTTATTGGTGGCAAATACATGCTCAAGTAGAGGTTGGGAACTTTTAACTTAAGAGATGGTGAAAGCAGTTGGCCATTGGAACAACCTCTGTATTTCTGTTGTCTGTCTGTCTATCTATCTATCTTATACAATTTAGAGGTCACCCAACTCCCAAGAACTCTGGGTGGCTTACAATTAAAAAAAAAACCAACAGGTGTTCAACCATCACCCCATCCCAAAGCCTGGGAGAACAGCCAGGTCTTTAATAGCTTCCTGAATGTCATCAGGGTGAGAGCCATCTGGATGTCTGGGTGGGGTGGGGGGATATCATTCCAGACAACAGCTGTTGCAACAGAGAACACATGTTTTCTGGGTTCCGCTAGATGACACAGCTTAATTAATAAGACCTGAATCACTGTACAATCTTAAAAGAGGCAGAGGATCCCTCAAATAACTAGGCCCTATGCCATGAAGGGCTTTATAGGTGTAACTAGCATCTTGAATTGTCCTTGGAAGTGCGAGGGTAATCAGTGCCTCTTGCAGAGCTGTGAGGCCACATGGCTCTAATGAGGCAAATTCAGCCTTCCTCTGGATTTGGCAATACTTTTCTTTTCAAATCACATCTGCCAGTAAACAACACTGCTCATCCTGAATCTTGGACTAGACTCGAATTAAGATGTTATCTAGCTCTTCAGTGATCTGTAGTCAGGGGGAAAATAAGTATACAATCTATAAAAATGCTTCCATGCAGCATAGTGGAAAAAAGAGAGTGATGGCATGACAGGCTAAGTAATTAAAATGCACTTATAGAAAGTTATTAAAATGGGAAATATTTTAGCACAGTATAACACAAAATAAAAGACACAATGGAAAACATTTTAATACCTTGATAACTTGAAGCAGCAGCAGAGAATTGAGAATGCCACAAAATATATATTCTATACTATATCATACCTTTGGACTGGAAAAGTAGGTCTGCTTGTTGCATTGAGCGTTAATTGGATTAATTTTTCTTTCTTTGTAGTTTTTCATTTCCCAGTCATCCAGGGAATCTTCTGCCCCTCCAGGCTGAAAACTGTGGCAGCCATTTTTTTCATCCAAATGAGTGGAGATTGGATGATGGAGAGTGCCAACAGTCTGCATGGAAGGATGAATGGGTGGAGGAGATGGTGGCGGCAAAGGAGGTGGTGGGACATGCACCCAAGGAGATGGAGAGGATGATGGAATCCATGAAGGTGAATTGGGTATTGGTGCGGCTCCCTTAGCAGCTGGAATATTTGGTGAAGAAAGTGGGTAAGCCACTGAGGATACAGGCACTGTTTGGAGTAATGGAGGTAGAGGCGCTGGGCGTTTTGAAAGCTTGCCTGTATCACCTAAGCTGATATCATCAAGGTCAGTGGTATGGAGCTGCAAGCCACCAGCAAACCTCCGCACAGATGTAGTAGAAGCAGAAACAGCAGGATGCACACCTGTTTTCTAGTATAACAGATTTTCTTTAATGCAGCATTTACTTGAAATGGCTAAATACAACTCCACTAACAGTAAAAAGCAAGCAACTAGGCTCAAGAACACAATGCTGCCAATTCCTATAAAACAATCATTACGGAAAACATTGTGTAGCTGTTCCACGCCAATAAATAAGAACTTATATTAAAGGAAACTATTATGTATGAGACAACTTCTACTGCCAAATAAATGTTTTAACAAGCTAAGGATAGTCAGTGTAGCAAAATGGAAAGTTGCAGCTTCTCACTCAAGATTTCTGTTGCAGCTAGTATCATTTAGGCAAGGAGTCTCAAACTCAAATAATCATGAGGGCTGCATGAGAATTAATTCATTAACCCAAGATCCATGCATGCACAGTAGGAAATTTAAACAGCTAAGGTGATGGCTGCACAGTGACAGTTAAGGGTTTCTACTGATGGCAGTGCTAGATAGATGGTGGATGTCTCTTGCATGGAGAATGGCTAGGAGCAGTGGAAGTCCTCACCCCACTCATAGAAGTGCTGATCCTGGGCCACTGCTCTGCACTTGGCTCATCCATCTTGTCACCACCACCACCCCATATGGAATTTCCATTCGCCTGATTTTTCAATATAGTTTTCTTAGTAAAAACAAAACAAAACAAAACAAAACCCACAACCCTACATTTTGTGACGATCAGAACATTTAGCAGTGATAAGGACTTATGCCAGAAGAAACGGAAAAAAGGAAAGAAAGAAGAGATTGGGTCATATAAGTGTATTAGAAAAAAAATTATAAGAAGCCAGCAAAGGAGAAGAGGAATGAGTGGGGTAAAATATGAGTGGAGAATATGTGGTCACCCAGTGTTGGTCCCATAATGGCAAGGCCAGGTGTCCCAGACAATTGCTGATGCTGCCTTGGAATCCTTACACTGTTCTATCGGTATAAGTAGTCCTTGTTTAGTGACCACAATTGGGACCAGCAACTTGTTAAGCAAAGCAGTCACTAAGTGAAACTGCATCTGTGCTTATAATCTTACTTCAGTTTTCCTTTGCTTTATAGACTTGCAAAGGTTGTAAATGTGAGGATTGGTTACAAAGTTACTTTTTCATCACTGTCATAACTGCGAACAGTTGCTAAACAAGGCAGTCGCTAAACAAGGTCTACCTGTAGTATCATTCACAAGGGACAAGGGACAGTAAGCAATGAAGGCGCTGGAGAAAGGGACAGTGGCAGGTCCTGGGCTGGCTGGTTTATGCACTTAGGTGGTGAGCTAGCTGGCCTTAAGCCGGCACCTTGCTGCAGAGCTAAGACTGCAGCTTCCCAGCTGTGAGTTGAGAGAAAAGTGTGGCTCTGCACCAGAGTTGAGCAGGCAGGCAAGACGTTGCACTTCTAATCCTGTGTGGGGTGCTAGCCTAGGGCCTCTTGGCTCGCCACCTGAATGTGAAGCCATCCTTCTCCAAAGCAAGGAGGAGTTGTGGTGACATCAGTGGGAGCATCTCCTTGTCCTGGCTGTTTTGGTGCCTTGCTGTGGGGTAGGATGGCAGCCACCCTTTAAGCTACCCTGAAGGCAGAGCTGGGCTATGCTTTCTTGTCAACTAAGGATCATCTCCCATCCTGCCCACCTAAGGATCATCTCCCATCCATCCTGCACTTGTGAGGCAGACGATGTACAAAATGGAGGGTCACATGCAGCCTATGGGACACAAATTTGAGACCCTTGATCTAGGCCTTTCCTGAACAACATGATGTGGGTCTTTCCTGAATTAAAAAAGATAGAAATAACAAAACAAACTTAGACAATTTGCTTTAGTCAGGAAAAAATGATGCTTAGCTTTTGTAAGTACTGCACAATTATATTTGAGAAAAGAACAAGCTACAGTCATTTTTTTCAGCATTATGCTGTCATATAAAAGCCGTGCAGCTCTAATAAAGGTGTATGCATTACTTTTTAAAAACCTGTTGCAAAGCCATTTTTAAAAAAATCTGCTTCTGTTTATTCCTTTATCATGTCAAAATGGCTTCTTTAGATGGATGTGTCTATTTCTACATATGATCTGAAAAAAATCTTTTCATTACCTACCTGATAAAATAACACGTGAATCTGCTACAGGTCATAGTGCAAACTACCTCTTAAAAATAATTTGTAGAACCCCAAAACAAATATTTTACTGGGTTGATGAGAATCTTATTTTACCTCAGGAGAATCATTCTCCACCGAGGAGATTTGTTCTAAACGTGTTTGACAAAGCTTTTCCACCCAATGCTGAGTCTTTTCTGATTCTTCTAAATCTTCTCGTTCAGTCTCAGACACCTGAGAGTCATACCATAATTTCAAAAGAAAAGAGTTTACATTTGCAGATTTACATTCAAAAACACACTTGAAATACATTTCAGCACTAAAATGTTGTGTACAGATCTAAATATTATTGTAATTCATCTCCTGCAATCACAACAAATTTATTTATTTATTTATTCGGCTTGTATGCT